ATATAAAACACAGACAGAAACCACATAAAACCCCCATTAAAAAAACCCTGAAGAACACAACAACCCCCTTCTTCATGCCACAACCATAATATCCTCCAGAGGTTTCCGCTTGAGGTCGGGCACCGTGGCATCCTCAGACGGGAAACCTACTGGGAGGAGCAAGAGGAGTTTCTCGTTGGGCGGGCGGTTCAGCAAGGTTCTGAGGGCGGGGCCGCAGTTCAAGGGCGTCGAGGTAAGGGTGACGAGACCTGCGTTCTGGAAATGGGGATAAGATGGGCGTCAGAGAGAAACAAAAAATGGCGAGTTGGTTGTTATCATTTGTGATTGTTTCTTTTTTCTCTCTCTTTCTCGTCATTTTCTCTCTCTCTCTCTCTCTCTCTCTCTCTCTCTCTCTCTCTCTCTCTCTCTCTCTCTCTCTCTCTCTCTCTCTCTCTCGGCCGAATTATGTTGGTGTTCAGCAGTACAAGTAAAGAACTTATGTTGTCATTTAATCAACACCGTATAGTACAGACGCCCCCAAAACACATTCACACCACAACCACAACCACGCCAACCAACCAGGGCACCCCCACAACCACGCCAACCAACCAGACACTCTTTTTCTCCCTCCTCTCTACGTCCACTACGCACATGTATCGCCGACAGCATTATGCCACACGACAGAACCGTCGAGATCTCGTGGTAGTAATGGTTCCTCTTGCGTCCGTCAGGCAGCATCCCGTACGTCTGCTTGAACACCAGGATGAGCCAAGGGGCCGTCGTCAGGTACTCCTTCACCCACGACGTCTTTAGCGCCTTCAGGTCCTTCACCCACTGGTTTCCTTTTTGGGGGGAGTTTCCGCGGAGGGTTCGGGAAGAGAGATGGGAAAAGGGGCGGGGATTCAAGATTTAGAAAAGAGGGCAGAGTGGTTGTTGATTTGGTTTGTAAATGGGTTATTACGTGATTGCATGGGCTGATTAAAGCATAATACTAATAATCTAAATAGATGCATAATCCAATCAATTCGAAAAAATCATAGAAAATAAAAATTAGCCATTAATCTCCTGTTTTTTTTTTTTTTTTTTTTATTATTAATATTGGGGACAGAGGGTTATACTAAAAATGAATAAATAAATAGATAAATACAAATCAACAAATTCGAAAGTAAAATTACCCATCAACCTCCTCCCTCTTGCCTAACATAAAAAAACAAAACAAAACAAAAAAACAAGGAACTAAATAAATAATAAAAACCACACCTCCTCCTCCTCCTCCTCCCTGCTCGCTAACATAATACAAAATACAAAAGAAAAGAAAACATAAATAACTAAACAAACTTCACACAACAACAACAACAATAAAAAACTCCTTCCTCTTGGCTGCCTCTTCTTACCCATCCTCTTCTTGTAATTAATTTCCTCTTCCTCTTCCACTATCTCTCGAACCCGCTGCTTGATTTCGGGGTCGCCCACCACGACGAAGGTCCAGGGCTCGGTGTGGGCGCCGGAGGGGGACGTTCCTGTGGGCGGTGTGCACTATGTATATTACTTTTAGTAGTATCTGTGTTTAACACTAACGTTGGTTTTACCACAGAGGAGAGGAAAGGGAAGGAGAGGAGAGGAGAGGAGAGGAGAGGAGAGGAGAGGAGAGGAGAGGAGAGGAGAGGAGAGGAGAGGGGAGGGGAGGAGAGGAGAGAAAAGGAGAGGAAAGGAAAGAAAAGGAAAGGAGAAGTGAGGAGAGGAAAGAAAAGGAAAGAAGAGGAAAGGAAAGGAAAGATGGGGATCGAAAAGGAACGGAGAAGAGAGGAGAGGAAATGAAAGGAGTGGCAAGGAGAGGAGAGGAGCAGAAAGGAAACAGGAGGAGAGCTGAGGAGAGGAAAGGAGAGGAGAGGAGAGAGGAGTAGACTAGAGTAGAGTAAGGTATAGGAGCGAAGAGGAGAGAGTAAGAGAGAGACAGAAACAGAGACGGGCGATATGCATTATGGATTGCGGCTCGTAGATTATGGGGGAAAGAGGGAGGAAGGTAAGATGGGGAGAGGGGGGGGGGGAGACGGGGGTGAGGTAGGTTGGAGAGGAAGGGAGAGGGAGATAAAGAGATGGGAAGGAGGGAGAGGGGAGGGGGATGGGAGGTAGATAAGGAGAGGGGGAGGAAGGATAGAGAAGATGGGGAGAGGGTGGAGGGGGGAGGTAGGTTGGAGAGGAAGGGAGAGGGAGATGAAGAGATGGAAGGAGGGAGAGGGGGGAGGGGGATGGGAGGAAGGGGGAGGAAAGAAGATCAGAAGATGGGGAGAGGTTGAGGTAGGAAGAAGGGAGAGAGGGGGAGGGAGGGAAGGAGTAGTGGGAAAGGGAGAAGGGAAGGAAAAAGAGAGAATGAAAGGAATGGAAGAAAAGGTATTATGGCCGAAGGAGGGAAATGAAAGAGAGTGAGAGGCAGAGGGGGGAGGGAATATAAGCCTACGACTCTTGCACTTTCCCGTCAATTTCTGCATTCCCGTTTGAACTTTCCTCGTGCAGAGTGCCCATGAAATGCCCGTGTAAACAAACACGGCGACAACCGAGTAAAGTTCCTGGGAATCATAAATATCACATCATTTAATTGTAAAGTAACTATTATAGTGTACATACAAATATTCTAAAATGTTTACATGAACTCGCTTTTTTTACCTACCCCCCCCACACACACACCATAAAACAAACAAAAAAACAATGTTGTAGTATAGATCTTCCTTAGCACAAGATCAAGACGGAATTCAGCTAGTTTACGGAGGAAGAGAGAGAGAGACAGAGAGAGAAGGCAGAAGAGGAGACAAAGAAAGAAGGAAGAAGAGGGGGAAATGAAGCAGAAGAAGGAAGAGAATAGAATGAACGTAGGTGAAAAGAGATGGAAAAAAGACTATAATGCAAAGGAAAAGAAAACGAGACAAAAGATCGAGATAAAGAGAAACAAACAAACAAAAATAAAACGAAATAAAAGCTCACACCGTGTTTTCTATCTTTTTTATTAATCTTTCTTTCTTCCTTTCTTCTATACCCATTTCCTCCTCTGACTTGACCTACATTTCCCTCGTTTATACAGAAGCCAAGGATTAACGTCATCTAAACACGTCTTACTGGGGGGAGCGACGTCTTCTGCAGGTCTCGATACCAGAGAGAGAGAGAGAGAGACAGAGAGAGAGAGAGAGAGAGAGAGAGAGAGAGAGAGAGAGAGAGAGAGAGAGAGAGAGAGAGAGAGAGAGAGAGAGAGAGAGAGAGAGAGAGAGAGAGATGCGGGGGAGGGGTAGAGGAAAAGAGAAGAGAGGAGAGAGAGACAGGAACAGATATCAACCAGTTTGGTATTGCTGACAATGTATCCTACTGCTTCCATTGTTATTAACATATCATAACAATAAAATATCACGCAGCTTATTCTGATTCTTGTGTACACTTCTTTCTCACTATCTTCATTCACATCAACACATACTGATTCCATCCCGTAACAACACCACGTGCATTAATACTGACCTAGTTACATGCCATTATAAAAAATGTAATGGTTAAGGCTGTAATAGATAGAGACAGACAGACTGAGACAGCGAAAGGAAGCAACAACAACAAAAAAAAGAAGATGAAGAAGAAAAACTAGAGGAAGATAGAAAAAAAGGAGATAAGAAAAAAACAGCAACAAAAAAAAAGAAAGAAGATGAAGAAGAAAAACTAGAGGAAGATAGAAAAAAAGAAGATAAAAAAAAACAGCAAAAAAAAAAAAAAGGAGAAGAAGAAAAAAAAAACAAGAGGAAGATAGAGAAAAAGAAGATAAGAAAAAGAGACAAAAAAAGAAAGAAAGAAGATGAAGAAGAAAAACAAGAGGAAGATAGAGAAAAAGAAGAAAAGAAAAAAAAAACAGCAAAAAAAAAAAAAAAAGATGAAGAAAAAAAACAAGAGGAAGATAGAGAAAAAGAAGATAAGAAAAAAAACAGCAACATAAAAAAAGAAAGAAGATGAAAAAAAAGAAAAACAAAAGGAAGATAGAGAAAAACAAGACAAGAAAAAAAAACACACGAACAAGGTCACCCAGAGGTCAAACAACCCACCTGCCGTTCTGACAATGTTCTCTATGACCTCTCGCGGAACGGGGTCAGAGCTGAAGAATCGGACGGAGCGACGTGTGTTCATCAGTTCGTAAAACTCCTTTGATTTTTTAATGCTCTCCTCTGCTGACAACCTGAAGGAGGGAAGATGAGATAGGAAAATATTCAATGTCTGAAAAATGGCAAAAAAATAGTCATAAATAATAATGATGATAATGATAATGATAATGATAATAATAATAATAACAATAATGATAATAATAATAATAATAATCATAACAATAATAATAATAATAATAATGATAATAATAATAATAATAAAAATAATAATAATGATATTAATAATAATAATGGCAATGATAATAACAATAATAATAATAATAATAATAATAATAATAATAATAATAATAATAATAATAATAATAATAATAAAGATAATAAGTGTATTTGTTACTTCTATCATTGTTATCATCCTTATCATTGTTGTTATCATTATCTGAGCTGTTGTTGCCATTATTATTATTAAAATTGCTGTTGTTCTTCCCTTTATTACCATATTTGTTGTTTGTTAATATCGAAATTATAATAATCATTACTGATACCATTATCACAATCATCATTTCTTATTAATATCGTTGCTCTAGTTACGAATATTCCATTAATAAAACCACCGCCGTTAACATCAATAAAATCAAACTATAATAGGACAAATAATATTGATTTTTACTGTTATCTTTATTCTTATAATCTTAGTATTATAATTACTATTATCATTATCATCATTATTGTCAAATCGTTATTATCATCACCTTCATGATTAATGGAAATACTGTCATTAATCATAATCATTAAAGCCATAATTGTATTATTAGTACTATTCTGATTTTATCATTATTCCTAATGTCATCATCTCATTAAATTATCATTATCGTAATTATTGCTACTATTATAGTATTATCATTCATACCATTATCATAGCAGTAGCAAATACTAGGATATAAAATCGATAAATCAAGTGATGGATATGGAAGCAGATAAACCATATATATTCCTCTCCTTTTCTCACTTATCGTTGAGTTCTTATTTCCCTTTTCGAGTTCCCACGTTGAATATCTTTACCCCATCCATTCGTGTCAACCGCCTCCTTCTCAACACCCAGTGAGAATAGAGTCATTTTCTGCACATTTTCTCCCATTTTTCTTCGGCTTCCCTCGATATCTGACTCTCCTGTCAAGTGCCTCACTCTTCTGTTCGAGGGATCGAACTATCTCATCCTCTTGACCCTTTGAGAAGAAGAAAAAGAAGAAGAAGAAGATAAGCTCTTTGACTCTGCGTCTTCCCGCATACTCCATCTCCGCAGATATATATATTTCAGCTTCCTTCTTTTTTCACATTTTATCAACATTTTATTAGCATCTACTCTAGCTCTTTGGCGTAGCGTATGCTTGCTGCCTCCCCCCCCCCCCCCTCCACTGCACACTCCATCTTTCCAGGTGATGTGATCTTTCACATTTAATAAACGTATGTTCCGGGTTTTTTTTAAGGGGTGACATATCTAATGTCGATGCGATATACCTTGTCTCTGTTCTTCAATAGGATAGCTCTGTTTCTCAGTAACTCACATATTTCTCTATTTTTTCTCCATGCAATTGCTTCCCTTTCTCTGTGTTTTTTTTTCCACCCTGCTCTCAAGGCCCAAGATGACTCTCAGTTATCAACCTTGCTATACCGATCGTATTTCTCTGCATATTCTTTTGCAATAATTTCTCTCTCCATCCCCTTTCCCTCATCTCTATGCCTACTGACACTCTACTGAGGAACCTCTACCCCGAAGACCACCTCTATCATCGGCTGTCATCCACAGAGCTGATGTCACTCCTACGCGTACTCTCCGATGTGTCTTCCCTCCTGCACGTTTTTTTTTTTTTTTGTCCTCTTGCCTGTCATCATCGTTATGTCCTCTTTGTTCACTTTTGAACCTTACTTTTTTCCATTTTATATATTCTTTCCATCTCTTCTTTGGTCTCAGCTTTTATCCCCAAAACACGATAAGAATCCATCTTGATTGATTCACTTTCATTTTCCGTGTTTGTATGTATACGCCTGTCTATGCCTTTATAATCTTTCTATATCAAAATCCAGTTGCCTTTATAATCAGATGCCGGATGTACTCCAGTAGCAGTCTTCAAACTTTCAATAGCTCCATCAGCAACCCTCACTAAGCTATGGAGTTTTCTCCGTTCCTAAATTCATTGATATACATTTGTCAACTTCCTTAGGCTTATTCTTACCGCTTTTTGTCAGCACGCCACTAGGCTCTCCTGAAAGACCAGGAGCTGCCTCTCTCTTCATACTTTCTACCTCTATTTCTGTGATGTTCTCTATAGGGCCTTCAAAGTTTCAAAACATCTCTTCTAGTTTCCATCTTTACGTCATCCAGCTTGATTTCACCATTTCCATCTCACCCTTTCCACCTTGGATTTTCTTCTATTCTTGCAGAGGCGTTCTAATCTCTGTTCCACTCCTGTCTTGCATCCTTCTTGTTTATGGCACCTGCCACCTAGCCTCTCTCTTTTTCTCTTTATACTCTTTCCTCTCTGTCCTTTGCCATTGTTTAAAGACCCTTTTCTCTGTCAGCAATCTTCTGAAATGCGGCGTTCCATCAAATGTCTCCCTCTCTCTGTTTCTCTTTGCTGATGTCATTCCACAGACCTCTGTAACTGTCTCTAGTATGTCTTCCTCTAACTGCTGCCATTCACCTTTTCATTGCGAGAAAATAAGATAATCTAAACTCTCTCTACAACTTCTCCTCTCCTGTGCTATGGGGACACACATCGTTCTGTGGGATTTTAAATAAATTTTCTCCTCATACTACTATACATTTTCATCGCTATGTGCTAAAATAACTATCCTATTAACAATAGAGGGACTCGTGTTTCTGTGTACAGTTAATTTGCTTCTCTCACTCTTTCTGAAAATAAAGTATTTAACACCCTAAGCTCTCAATTTTTCCAGAGACTCGACACAGCCACAATTAATTAACTGTACACACTATCTCTTAGAGTCCATAGCTATTATCTCCTAGAGTCCATAGCTGTCACTTCCTGTGTTATCACCTATAAACATCAGATACTCCTGGCACTAACTCGTCTATCTGTTACTCCCAAAATTCTTGCTTTGGTCCCTTGCATGTTTCTTGTCTGTGGTGTACGTGCGGAGAATTTCTGATATACAAACAAGAGAGATTTGTATGTTCTTTGTTCTGTTATTGTAACACTTTAGCTCTACCACATAGGCTGAGATTTAGGTAAGTAATCACTGTATCAATACCGATTGTATGAATCTCATTTTCACTGTATCGTACAGACATACAGATAATATAAGTCCGATATGCGAAGCTGAGCCTCGCCCGGGCTATGGGGGAGCCCGGCCTGTGCCGACTAATGTCGACTCGTTAACAGTGTGTCAGCAGGTGCTGACTCGGGTGAGCTTAGTCCTTACCCACCGTGGTGCCCAGCCACAGCAGTGACCTCCAGGCGACAATTGCAACTTCTCGCGCCTGAGCGGGGCGCGAACCGCCGACCCCTCGGATGAGAGGCCGACACGTTACCATTGTACTAGCCCGGAGGCTGACATACAGACATAAAAGAAAGATGGATTGGTAAATATACATATAGATAGTTAAACACATGGACAGACAGGCAGTTGGATTTTGATATAGACAGATTATAAAGGTATAGACAGGCGTATACCTACAAACACGGAAAATGAAAGTGATTCAATCAAGATTGCCTCTTATCGTGTTAGTAGAACTCAAGGTTACAGCTGATAAGATAAACACAGTGACACTGATTATAATATCGCTTTCCTTCCCTCCCGATTTTTTTTTATCACATGAGGCTGCAACTTTGTTCAACGAGTCTGTCTGCAACATTTTGCTTTGAATAAGAAGTTGCTTGATATAACTCGACTGTGGTTGTTAAATGAAGATTGTAGACAATATTGCTGTACTAAAAGGAAATGGCGTTACCAGTAATAGATGGTGATGGATGATGATGATAGTAATAATAATAATACAAATAAAAACAAGACTTTGGAATATTATTATCACTATCATTATCATCATTATTACTATTATTTTCATTAATATTATCTGTATTAATGCTATTATTCCCACTATTACTATTATTATCATTATCCTTAACAATTAAAGTATTTGTAATAGGAATAGCAATAGTAGTAATAATAGTATTCATCATCATCATTATTATCATAATTTTTATAACTACTACTAGCATAATCATAATCATTTTTATCATTATTATTATTATCATTATTATCATTATTATTATTATTATTATTATTATTATTATTATTATTATTATTAGTAGTAGTAGTATCATTATTATTATTACCATTATTATTGTTAATATTATTATTATTATCATTATCATTCTTATTGAGAACGAGACAACGAGAGAGAGAGAGAGAGAGAGAGAGAGAGAGAGAGAGAGAGAGAGAGAGAGAGAGAGAGAGAGAGAGAGAGAGAGAGAACGAGAGAGAGAGAGAAAGAGAACGAGAGAGAGAGAAAGAGAACGAGAGAGAGAGAAAGAGAACGAGAGAGAGAGAGAGAGAGAGAGAGAGAGAGAAAGAGAGAGAGAGCGAGAGGGAGAGAGAGAGAACGAGACAACGAGAGAGAGAGAGAGAACGAAACA